CCCCCACAGCCCTGGCAGCGCACCGTGTCTTCCGCTGGGCGGGAGGGCCCCTTTCTCTTCCTGCCGGCCTGGGGCTGTTCGATACAAAGCCGCTGAGGCTGGTACGAAGTGCAGCGGGCGGCCTGGGCCATCCGTACCTGCTGTGCTGCTGCTGAGCTGCGCGTGGTGTCAGCAGGTGCCTTTGCACAGCGGAGAGGGAGCTGGAGTTGGCCAATTCAGGCTGTCACCGGTGAGTAGAAAGTCGAATTCTCTTACTACGAGAGGCCTGCCTTGAGCACAGAAATTTGTCTGGTTTCTTTTTGGAGAGAGCTAAAAACTTTCAGGGCTCACTGCTCTGCACTTAAAGCACTAATACAGAGCAACGATGTCTACCTTTGCTGGGTTTCCCATAGGAAGTCATGCACTGCTGCTCCAGGAAGCTTTATGCGTGTATGTTATGCACCTGCTGTATGGCTCAACAAGGTTTATGACCCAATGGATTAACCATATAAGAGAAGATTGACAGAGAAGTATGTAGGCACAAATTGTTCAGGGAATTAAATTATTTACAGGCAATTATTCACCTGGATTCTCAAAGTAATCCAGAGCAAAATTGCTCTGAAAGTTAATATCATTTGGGATGTGCTCTCCTTTTCCCTTTCAAAAACTGTCAGTCTCCAGAACAGCAATTTCTAAACAGAACCCTATTTAACATGAGCATCCTGCAACTCTACATGCTCCACTGCTGTTGGAAAAACATATGTATGCATTTGCTGAGCATGTGAAATGAAAGAATAATACTTGTAGGTTACTAATTTCCTAGTTTCCCAGTTTTAAATTACTTTTAATGTTTCCAAGCAAAAAAATAAATGTGACTCAAACTCCTTAAGTGTTAAGGTTATAGTAAATAGCATCTAAATAGAAAACTAAAATTACAAGACAAAGTATGTCTGGGATAATATTGTCTAATTTTTAATTTCAGTGTATGTCTTGCTCAACATTTTATTAAACGCTTTTCTATCACTGCTTGTCCCTTTAAAGATGATTACAGAGAAGAGGAGTTAAAATGTAACCCTGAAAAGTACAGCCTTGCATCAGGTCGCCAAAGTTGGCTTATTTGAAAGCAATATGTAAACGCAGCCAAATGTGTAGCTTGAGCCAGTATAACCTCACTGCTATTCCCAAGCTAGCAAAACACTCTCGGGGGGATATATAGCATAATACCGCTGCATGCCATCAGGTCACTTTTAGTCCCAAACTAAGCTATGCATTTAAATAATTTTAAAGCCAGTTACTCATGTGACTTGTTCTTCATATAGTTGTGCTCATATATCACACTAGCTACAGTATTCTGCCATTACCAATATCCTGCAGTAGCAGATGGTGATCTTCTAGCACTTATCAATGCATTGTTGTGCAGTGAGAACAGGGCATCTGGCCTCAGCCAGGCCTACATAACTAGTCTGACGGGTCTGCCCTCTTCCCAGGCCTTGCTGGAAAGCGTCCAGGAAGGCATCGCTCCATGTATCTGTGTGCTGCTCAGCTCCAGGGTGCTCAGGGCGCGCTGGACTGACTGCCTGAGAAATGGGGATATACGTGGTAGTGGGTGAAAGAGCTCCGTTATGGATAACTGTCGATATTTACAGCACTGATCAGTAGCTGGGAGGTGAATAGGACTTCGGAATTTTTCCTCACAATCCATAAATGTTGTAAATGTGTTTAATTTAAGCTTAAACTCTGCAGGAATTTGAGTCTACCCAGAAACGTGCCTGTAGGAAGGAGCGTTAAGCAATGGCTCGGTCTAGTCTCCGCATTACATTCCCGAACGAAACCTGCGCCCTCAGCGTGCTGCTGGCGAATGCCGTCAAAATTACAGGTATCCCGGAGTCACGGGCCGCGCTCCAGGATGTGCGTACACTTATGAACGCACACACGCTTCTTTCCAGTCCGAAGTGAAGCTTCGATTTAATTTACTTAAGTAAGCCGTGGCGGGGTGGGGGGCTGAGTTTGGCAGACAGAGCGTGCTCTGAATGTTTTTAGTTAAATATTAGTAATCTTCCTCCTGAAGATGATCTCGGCGCTAATATTGCAACATCATTTCTATTTCGGTTTACTCCTTTTTTGGCTGCTAGGCTTGCCAGATAGAGCAGAGGTTGTGCGTTTCTTCCGTTCTGTTTGTGATGCCACGGGAGACTTTCAGTCTTTATTAAGTATATATTAACTTTTTCAGTCTTGGTTTTGTAACCCCTGCTCATGGTAAATGAGGCTAATGACGATTATGTACGTGAGTAAGAGATTCAGTAAAAGTGGCACACGCTTAGCAGGCTGCAGAGGCCCACAATTAGGCCAGAACCTGTTTGTACTAATTTGCATATAGGCCATGAAAAGGTGGGGAGTTTTATTTAAATTCTCCACAAATTTTTAGCTGGAGGAAAAGCTTAAACCCGGACCCTTTCAACTCAGTAAGTGAATGTTTTAGGAAAAAAGCGAGCGTGGGTGCTGCGAGGTGTACTTATTTGAAACCTTTACTGCATACGTCTACCATTCCCCGTGGGAAAATTAAGTGTTATGCAGTTTAATTTCGCTGAAGAGCCCCCGTGATCAGCAGAGCACATGAAACCCGATTTTCTCCGGTTTTCCATCACAGCCTCTCTCCCTCCTGCTCCCCGCCCGTCTCTAACACCTTACCTAACCGGGCGACCTCGGCTCTTTCTCCTCAACGCCTTTCCACTTTTTCTCACAGGAAAAGCAATTATGTGTGAAACTTTCCCCCTCAGCGGG